TTATTGTTTTGCAACCTTTGAGGGAATGCGACTAGAGGTGTGTATTTACTGAGATAAATGGTTTCCTTAACCTATGGAATGTCTAACTATTTTTCTTGATTAATCTTTGCCAAGTCTTCAAACGGAACCACTTGTTCCTCGCCCGTGGTAGGTACCCGGTTCTTAATTGTGAATTATGGCAGCTTAGATCCACTTTTCGTTGTGATTGCCTGGTCTTAGTCCTTTTTAGGATGTCTTTGAAGTCTTTGAGGAAATGGAATAGGTGGCAACATAAGTTTGAATAGGGTTTGTAGGCTTGATTGATGGTGCCTCAATAATTGCATAATTTACAGCTTTAACTGCTAATACTTGTTCCTTTGGGTTCATTTCTGTGTCACCAGGCAGAGTACCTTGTGTTCTGCTTGCTAATGCAGCTGTCATTTGACCCATCTGAGTTTCTAAATTTTTAATTATAGCATTTTGGTTTTGGAGAATAGTTTCAGTCTTGGCCATGTGGTGCCCAATAAATCTTCAACTGATCGCTTTCTTAGCTGCTGCTGTTGTTGTTGGTATCCTAGTGGTTTAGTTTGAAAATCTCCTCCTTGGCCTTAATTATTAGCACATGAGAAATTTGGATGATTCCTCCATCCTGGATTATATGTGTTAGAGTAAGGGTTTAACCCTCCTCTGGCTGGATTATATGTGTAGAGGCTAAATGACATCTTTTTGTAATATGATCTGCCCCGCACCAGTCACAAATCGGTTTTGATTGGTGCACCATGTTCACATTCCGGGTAAGGTTGTCTATTTCTTTGCTATGCTTTCATTTGGGCTACTAAGATGTAGTTATGTCAATATTGTGTGCTTCTACCGTCTTCCTTGGCACTTCCTTATCTAATGGCCACATGGATTGATTTTCTACAGTTCTTTCAAAAAGGTTTAAGCACCGCTTAGTAACATTGCTCTAGTAAGAGCAAAATAAGGTCCTACGCGCGCGGAAAAATGTTTGTGCGTGTGCGCCATTAAAAAAAATCTTTTGTTTCATTTTGGTCCCTCAACTTCGGCCTTCATGCATTTTAGCTCTTTTTGATGTCTCCTTGGTCCCTTAGGTTTCATTTCCATCTAATTGACTCCATACCTTTTTCAATCATTGATATTGGGTCCGAATCAACTATTAGCGCTTTACAATTTAGTCATCAAATTTTGGATTCAGTCCCTTTTGGTCAATTTTTCATTCATTTTGTTCACTTTCATCGTTTTTCATCGACATACACCTAACAAACAAAATATATACAAAATTAAGTCTCAATTTATTTAAAATAACAATAATTGCTCTAATTTAATGACTGAGATAAGTGTAATAAATACACTTATCACAATACATGTGAGAATTAGCGAATCGTTTATGACTTTCATATTTAAAGAACAAATATCTTCCAATCAAATCAGAAAACATTTCACAATCCCAGGCAAACAATTTGCCTGGTCAATTCATCTTAAATAATGAAATCATTGTCTTCTTGTGGCAACATTGGCATCAGATTTCAAAGCCACCTGTGTTGGCTCTTTATTTTCTTGGAGAAAATCTAAAGTCTATTTATGCAAATTTTCACTATATACACGAAATTGTATTTTCTTGGAGAAATTTTCTTATCCTTAAATACTGAGAGAATTGGCTAACCATTTAGTTTTTCATATTGAAAGATCAAATATCCTCCAATCAAATCAAATAACATGTCACGTCCAACCCTTTGCAAACAATTTGCCGGATCAATCCATCTTAAATAATGAAATCATCATCTTCTTGTGGCAACATTGAAGTCAGATTTCAAAGCCACCTGTGTTGGTCCTTGTCCAACTGCGCCTTGGTCTCCCCAACGTACAACATGATGTATTTTTGGGGATACTAGCTACTGCGGGCTAGAATGATCACCTTACATTTTTCACAATAAAGGAATGGCAATGGAAGACAATCAACGGGTGGGCCAGAATTTGTTTTGGCTGAAAATTTTTAATTTAAGGCTATTTTGTAAGCAATCCCTACATATATGACATGATGATGCCTGGGTTTGATTTGCCGAGAGATTAGGTTTTTGATTTTGCAGCTTTGGTGGGATACTGAGGGAAAGAAGAAGATGGCTTGGGAAGCTCCAAGCGTGAGAACGAGATGTTTCATTCAGATAAATTGGTTTCCTTGAATATGGTGAAGAAAAATTGACTATTAAATGCAATATCTCCTCGTTAAATTGGATCTGTACACAAAAATAATTTGGACATAATTAGAAAAATATGCTTATGTACTCTTCGGTAACAATGTTCAACTACAGTTAAAAAAAATGACAACGGAGAAGGAAAATGAAGGTTTTGCTATGTCAGAAGGGTGACAATACGGTTTTTTTTCTTCTCTTTTTATTGCACTAGCAAATAAATATTGCTTGTATGCATATCTTAGGAAGACTTAACATTGAGTTCATTTCTCCTTCAACTAATAACTACGAACCATCTACCTCCATCTTCAACCATTTTTATTTTGTAAACTTGATAAACAAATCTTATCAACCATTTAGATTTTTCATATTTAAAAAACAAAATATCCTATAATCAATCCAAATAACCTTCCAAATTTTAACCCAGGAGGACAACACGCCAGGTGAATCCATCTAAGATACTAAAATCATCATTTTTCTACATCTTTGATACTAGAAATTTTGGTTGTGGTTCGTCATTTCTGCACACCTTTGTCCATGACAATCCACATAATTCTGGGTTGCTAATGTACGAACTTTTTATCAAACGTAAGAAGTTAGCCTTGCTCAGGTATGGGACCAAAAAGATGATTGCATGAAATGTTAAGGAATGAAAGAGATGTCAACTTTATCAATTGCTAAGGAATATCTCTAACCAATTGCTTTGAGTGAAAGTCAAATGATTCTAGTGAAGTCAAATTTTCTAATGATGGGATATGACCTGTGAAGCTATTATTAGATAAGTTGAGAGTTTGTAGGCCCTTGATCTTTCCTGTAGAATTTGGAATATCTCCTTGAAATTTGTTGTTTGATAGATCGATGCTTGTATAGGCGCTTCGAATACTCGCTAGCTCATACTTGAACCCCTTCAGAAAAATAGTCAAAAGTTTAGGAACTCCAATTTCATTTTCAATCACATTGATCACGGCTTTGAAATTTTCTAAAAATTCAACTTGGATAACTCCAGCGAAATCATTATGGGACATGTCAAGAATTCGTAGATTAGGGAAAAGAAGGTTTACATTTAAAATAGCTATCATGCTAATTTTATTCAAGGTTAAAGGATGAATCAGCATTAATAGTGGTCGTCCTTGTGAAGATGATTGGATCAATGACTTGGGAAAAGATGATTGGTCTTTCAAAGATACCACAGAGCGTAGATCAGATACTGAAGAGAGTAGAGCTACTATGGTTACAGAAAACGAAAGACAAATTACAAGAAGAGATCACAGAAGTATAAACAAAGCTATGGGAAAACAAAAGATACACAAGGATCAAGTGGCGAGAAGAAGTCTATTAGTGCAATACATAAATCTTGCAGATGGATATGCATCAAACAACACCAAATGATATTAAGCCAAGTCAAAAACAAGATGTTGAGGTACATGCGAATTCACAATCACAAATAAGGAAGTTGGGTGAATGTAAGAAATCAAATACCAAGTATCCTAGTCTAAAAATCGATATAGGGGAAAGCATGGAAGAGTCAGATGTATTTGAAGTCGCCAATGCATTGTATAAACGATCGATCGATTCGAAATTGGTCAAGTTTCAAGTAAAGTTGGACGAGACTAAAAAGAAAGAGTTAAAATGAAAAGAGTCGATGCTAAAGAGGAGAATTGAAGATGCAACACCACCTTGAAGGTGCCTATGTAATGAATATGTGTGTGTGTGTGTGTGTGTGTGTGTGTGTGTGTAATAAGAAGAGATAGAGAGAGGCGCACATATATGAGTGGTGTGTATAAGAGAGATTAATCGAGTGGATAGAGAGAGAGAAAGATATAATTAGTGCTTCATTTAATATAAATATTGTGAGAGTTGCTTGCTTGGTTTGTAAAAATATTTTTACTAATAAAAAATAATTTCTTTTGGCGTTTTAAACTCAACATATACTGTGTTTGAAGTTGTATTTGGCATGTGTATTAAGATATTATGATGCTCAAGTCAGTCGAGATAAATTTAAAAGGTGTTAATTGTTAGGTGAATCACATTGAAACAAAAGAGGATATCAAAATTTTAAAAGTACAGAAAGAATACGGTCTTGTTAATGTTTTGCCCTTTTTGTTGTTGATATTAGCCTTCTATGGAAATCAGTTCCATGAAGATACAAATGAGAGAAACTTCTTGAAGTTAATAGTTGTAAAAGACATAATAGAAGACTAAGTCATTCTAAATATTAAGAGAAGACATTATGAAAAATAACAATATATGAAAGGGAAAGCTACTTGATTGCAAAGAATCCATTTCTAACAAAAAAGGATATCAAAGTTTTCGAAGAACCAAAACAATACATGATAATATTTAGCCCTTTTGTGGTTTATATTAATGCCATATTTGGAATCCAATTCCACGAATATACAAATAAAAGAAAATTCTTGAAGTTGATAGTTGAAAACAACCTAATAGAAGACTAAGTCAATGAAAGCTACTTCGTATTAAAGAATAAACTGTAGCGAATATTTATATAGATGTAGTGATGTATTTAATGCGATCATGATATCCATGTCACTGACTTACAATTTGTTGGACTAGTACAAAAATATTCTTTTCAAGTAATTTGCTAATTTTAAATATAAATTAAATTTGGATTTCATCTTTGATGTTTACATCCAATTCTACATCCTAGAATTTACAAAACTTACAATTCCTTAGGTGCTGGAATTATGAGCCTCAGTAATTGGGAATGAAGGATTCTTAGATTATGTCAACAAGTTCTACTTCAAACATGACAGTGGAACGGCAATTTCTTGAGAGAAATAAGAAAACATAAATAAGTGATCAATCAATTCCATCGACAATTAAAACGGAGTTTGATTAAATTATTACAATAAACAAAAAATTGCATATAAACCATATCAAAATTCACAAACAATAAAAAAGGTATGAGAAGTACAATAAACAAATGCTTTAATTCACAAACTAAAAAGAATCCAAGGACGGGCACTGGAAAAGAATTAAAAAAAATCTCAATTCATCTTTCTTCTGTAGAATGAAATTGGGTATATTAGGCTTCTGCAGCACCTTGGTTGAGAGCTCTCTCCAGTCTCGCCTCGAATGGAGTTGAATGCCAATTCACTCTCTTGTCCTACACAATTGATGGCAAATACTTAGAACAAAACATTATCAATGTGAAATTAATTGACAAATTCTCACTTCAAGAATACCTCTCTGTACTTGCTGGTTGTATTCGGTATGCCTTTGTAAGAAGAGACTGAGTCAGAATGCTTGGCTGAACCCGAATTATTCCAATAGGTCCCGACTGTACCTATAATAGGCATCTCATCAGGGTTTCGACGAGGAGACTTCCTCGGGGAGGAAGATGCTGACATCTGTTTCAGCTCCTCGACTGTCAATGCACCTAGAATAGGTCGATCATCATAGCTCCTCGGTGAAGTCGACCCTACTGGTATGTTCTTTTCGGGCGTAGTGGTCTCAAGATCACTATAACTATTCTTCTTTGCAGGAGTGATATCAGGCGAAACCAACCAGCTCGAAAGACTAGAATCAACGGCAATCTCATTGTTTGCATTCTTCAACTGACCCAATTTTGGCTTCAAACTATGTGAAGATTGCTTGAAAGTCGGTTCAAAACTACTGAAAGAAATGTGGGGTGCGTCAAGGTCAGCAACCAAGTTCTCCTTCTGTGGCTTCAAAGGCTGCATCCCTTTCGACTTCACAGCTTTCCACTGAGTAGTGTTCTCAACAGGGTTCAGCACGGAATTGACATAGTCACTTCTATCTCTAGAAATTGTTTTTGGTCCAGACTCCTCCATTTCCCTCTCGGGCTGTCCAATCCTTATCAAAGGACTCGCTACTTCCTCGTTGATAACTAGAGCTGAAAGATCTTCTGTCCTTGACTCCATAGATGCAGTTAAAACTGACTCTGACCATACTTCTTGGCAAACAATTCCATCATCTTCATTGTAGTAATCAGAATCACCTTCATCGTCCATCTCTTCTATATTATCCAAGTCACTGTCACCATACTCCTCAGTTTCATTGTTACCCTCCATAACATTATGGTACCTATGATTCTGAGGATACAATCCCACGCTGGATGCCACAGAACTGTCATTTTCAGAGAGTGAATGCGATTGGGGTGGCCGAGACCTTTCTAAATCTTCCTCCTCTTTCTCAATGGATCTATTGTTCTCCGGTAGAGAATCAGTGCTTTCATAGATGGAAACATGGGTGTATGTTGTGACATTTGTATCAAATGTAACTCTTTTTCTTGGGCTTGGGATCAATTGCTCCTCTCCCTCAGGCTTATCTCTGCACCACCAAGTCAATCTAGTTTAATCTAGTGGAAGAAGCTAATAATAATAATAAAAAGCAATGGATACTTCTCTAAATCAATTCTTCACCTGCAAATATTCGCAGTAATGGAGAAGCTAATAATACAGAAAATCAGACAAAATTTCTCAATACTGAAAAGAATTGAATAAAGGCAATTCAATTGAAGAGTTTAAAGAGAATGATATGACTAACCGCAACTCTGAAACCGAGTTAGTCGTGGGTATTTCCTTACAGGGAATTTCCGTAATGCTCTGTTCTGCATATATTACACCCTGCTGCTGCTGAACATTCCGAACCCCGTCTCTCTGTAACAATATTTTAGCAATTTGATTAAATTCAGAAAACCCCAAATCCAAACAGAAAATCAAAATACAGTTATATTAATAATATGTTCTCAAAGCTTAAAACTGCGAGAGAGAGAACAAATCAAGAACTGCTTTATGCTATTTCACTGAATTTTGGTACAGCAAGCCAACTGCGGGGAAAATAGAAAATGGGTTTCAAAATTTGGTCAATAAACAAAATTTAAAGCTCCATCAAGAAAGAAGAATCAATGTTTACATTCAGATACTTGAACAACGAAACCCACAACTTAATACCCACTTGATTGATTTTAACAGATCAAAAAGACGGAGAAAATCGATAAACAATCAAGAATTCCATAATTCCTCTCACAATTTTACACAAAAGGGAAGAAACAAGAAACGAGAACTTAAATTCTGGTTAAGCTAAGAAAATGGTCTAACTTGATTTCTAGGGCTGCCCCGATTAATCCTCTGTTTGCGGCGTTTGGAATTCTTTGCACCACCAAAGCACCCAAGAAAACAACCCATTAAGTGCTATTCAAGAACCACCAAAAACTTTATTTTTTTCTTGGGTTCAAAGATTGAACTTTTCTTTAGTTTAAGATGATTTGAAGGAGTTTAACGTTGAAGGATCTTCATGATTGGTGTTTTTGCCTGGCAGAGAGAGTGGAGAGAGAGAGGATCGTTAAGGGAGAAAGGGAAAAGGCAAACAAACGGTCGAAAATTGGTGGGCCTACGGTGGGTTAGGGTTTGTGTGTGTTGGACAGAGGAAATGACCGTTAGTCTTTCAATTTAAATTTTTTTTATTTCACTAATCATGTCCAAAATGCCATTATAAATCATTAAGCACTTCAGATCCTCCGTGGGCCATCTTCAAAGAATCTCTCCAATGTTTACTATTAAAAATAGGAAAATGCTACTTGTAAGTCCAAAAGCAAAAGTTTTGGTGTACATAATTTATGCACATTCGGTGTTGATGTTCGTAAATTATGTACATAAAGCACAACCACATCCAAAAATACACTCTCATCCTCCTCAGATTAATGTTTGCGACCCCTCCATGTAAGGGGGTGTAACCTCGGGTGTACATCCTTATGTATGTATAACACTTCCCCTAAATATAATTCACGTAATGAAATTATATAATGATTTACATATAGATGGAGTGTCAAAAAGAAAGTAAGAAAATTTTCTTTTTTTATTTGATTGAAGAAATACTAACTCAAATATATATCACCACATTATGTAAATCATTATATACATGTAACACAACCCCTTTAATTCTTCTATTCAATTTCAACTACACATTTAAGTAATAAAATATTTTGTACATAAATTCAAAAAAATCATACTTTTTAACCACACATTCTCTAAAAATTACTATTTGAACATCATTTTATTTTTTTTTTAATAATGACCATCGAACAGTGGCTAAATATTTATTCATTTTTTTTACTAGAATATCGAATACTTAATCAAGATTTGTTGATTTGCGTATAAATGTCAAGAATCAATTTTTGATCCATAATTCATAGATTTCAAAAAATGACAATTTGGATCACAATAATTAAAAATCTCTTAGTTTCAATATTTATTGAAATAAACAATACCGTAAAAGAATGAATCCTAATTATTGCTTCAAATTTTCACTCAAAAAATAAAATAAAATCGTAGCTTCAAAAAAAAAAAAAAAAAAAAAACCCC